CTTTTGGATTTGATTAAAATTAAGTCTGGACTGTGGAGATCAGCAGGGACAAAGACTACATGTATATGAGGCCATCATTAACTTCTGAGGTTATGTTTACAAGTTAAATTCTAAAAAGTAAGCCCGATCTGGGTTGATCGGCGAGAAAAGTGTAGCATCTTGTCTGTTTCAAGAGAAGTATTTCCAGATTCCATATCAACTCAAAGGGAAGAATAAATGCTTGGGTGTAATCTCAGCCTGAGAAAGCTTAGTTCGATTTTGGCGATCGGCGAGGATAATGTGACGTTGCAGAGTTGTGTCAAGAGCTTTCAGTTGTTAAATAAAAGACAATCTTCCCCCATCAAGAGGGACTCCTGGATTTGATTACAATTAAGTCTGGAGATCAGCACTAGGTAACATGTCAAAAGCAATAGGTAACTTTCATCTGAAAAGGAAGTCCAATCTGGGTCGATCAGAAAAAATAATATAGCATTACATCATCTTTAACTTCCATAGTACTAGTGTCCATGTGTTAAAGTTTGGAAAGTAAGTCCGAATTGGGTTGATTTGTGAGAAAGCTGAAATATTAGGCCAACTTCAAGAGTATTAGTCGCAGATTTTGTTAACTGAATTTTGAAGAGTAAGCCCGACCATGGCGGATCTGCTTGAGAATGTAAAACACATCATTTTCAAGAGTAATTGAAAGGTAGTCCGATCTCAGTCAATCGGTGAGAAGAGTGTAGCATCTCGTCAATATCAAGAGAATTATACTTTCAGATTCCATACCAACTTGGCAGTGGCAATGGCAAATTGGCAGGAGGACATAAAACACGTCATTTTCAAGAGTAGATTCAAGTGACTTAAGCTTGGAAAGTAAGTCTGATCTCAGTCGATTAGTGAGAAGAGTGTAGCATCTTGTCAATTTCAAGAGAAATGTTACATATCAACTTAAAGGGAATAATTTATGTTTACCGATCTGGGTCTATCGGCGCGGACAACACGACAGTTCAGAGTAGTGTTTACAGTTTGTTACATTTTTTAAAAGCAAGCCACTCCACCCCAATCAGCAGGGCCCTTTGCTTTATTGAAATTAAATATGATCTGGATCGATCAACATAGACAATGTGACACTTCAAGAGCATTTTTGTGAATTTAGGTAACTTGAAATCTAAAAGTAAGTCTGATCTGGGTCGATGTACAAAGACAATAAGGCATTATGTCATCTTCAACTTCAAGAGTAATGTCTTTATATTGAATTTTGAAAAGTAAATCAAATCTGGGCTGACCGCCAAGAAAAATGTAGCATCATGTCAACTTTAAGACTTATATTCGTAGATTTCATTTACTTTAACTTGTACTCGCCTCTTTGAAGTTGCCATTTCAAAATCCAAATTTCAGTCATCGCTGCAGGGACGCTTAATAGCTTTGATTTAAAATTGAGACCGACCTTGATCGATCAGCAAGACAGTGCAGCATAAAGTCAACTTCAAAATTAATGTCCACAGATTTAATGTAAGTTACAAAAAATAAGCCCAATCTAAGTCAATCAGCAAGGGCAGTCACACAGTATCACGTCAATGTCATTAGTTGTTGTATAGTTTTACTTGCATTTATAAAGGTAAATGTTTAGAGAATGCTAAATTTTAGGCTACTTTGCCTCAGAAAATACAGTGGCTAACTTAGCCTTTGAAAATAATTGGGTGGCTACTTCGCCTTAGAAAGTAAATAAAAAAAATTGAAGTCTCTCTCTCTGTGTTTTTCTTTATGCAGCTTTCTTCTTTCCCAAACTAAAGTAAACAAATTTTTATATCAAGAGGAAAATAAATAGACCACCTTGGTAACAAATAAAATAAGATATGAAACAAAATGCCTCCGCTGTAGCTCACCAGAAAATATTAGCTGTATGCTACTGCCATACAACCCAATTCAGCACGACGACAAACGCGAAGGATAAAAATTAACAACCGGAATCACCCAGAAGGAAGCACAGGCGGCGGAGTAGTGAAACGACCGCTGTGATCATCAGCAATGCAGGAAAGAATGAAAAAGAGACATATGGCAATGGGGGGGCTATTTAAAGAGAAATGGGATGCGCCTCATCACCACTCGCGTTACGTAATAAACGAAAAAGGCAATGAAAGAAATTCGACTCGGGGCTACTACAAATGCAATCCAAACCGATCAGCAAGGACACTTAAACAAGTCTTGGATCCTTACCTTGAATTTAAACAGTTGGACCAATATGGGTCATCTGGCAGATGGTAAGTTGAATTGCCATGGAGTCATTTTTCAAATTGTTATTGACCATGCTAGTCTGATCTTTCACCCTCCACAGATCCTGTTATTTTTCTGATTTTTTGTGAGTTTTTAGGCTCAATATTGAGCAGCTGGGGGCATGGGGGCATGCAAAATGGCAATGGTTCCCCCCCCCCCGTTCTGTCACTGGTGATCATCCTAACTTCTAGGTAAGCTTAAATCAATAAAATGGGAATAATGTTTACTCTAATGAGTGACCTAGCTTGGCTAGGCCCAGTATTTTTATATCCCCATTCACTAAGCTAAGCCATCAGACTGCAACTTGGAGCAAACATGCAGCTAAAAGGATGAGGGTGTACAAGCCCAGTGGAGGCTGATTGGACAAGGAAGAGACTGCTTCCCAAGGGTGAAGATGGACCTTAAGATCACGCAGATGAAACTGGAGCCAGAGGTGGGAAGATATGAAAGAGTGAACTGAGCCTAGTTGCTTGTCAGTGCTGCTTGTTTGTTATTCTTGAGGTGAATTTACTAAAATAAAGGACCTCAAGAAATGGGAGATAAACATGTAATGGTATGATGAATGTAGAAGTGTGTGGTGAAACTTTGTCACAGAATGCAGTGGCTGATTTTTTTTACTCCACAGACTGTTTCACTAGAACCAGCGTGGATCCCTGGGCTGTTTCTGATGAATCCAAGGAACTGGAAGTAGGGAGGAGGACCAACGGTTGAGCTGATGATCTATTTGCTGTGCTTGCCATTTTTTTTTCCAGGTTAGTTTATTGAAAAATAATGTGGAAAGAAATATTTCACCAAAATGGGTGATTTAGCACTCACTGGTGATTGCTTTGATCCTCCAAGAAAATAGTGAGTGCTGAGGTTCATAATTGCTTTGTTGTTTACATTAATAATATTTGAATTTCTCTCGTATTTGTGATCGAATCTCACTAAATGAGTTTAAATGCTGGTTTTGTAGTCAGGCTGTTGGGGGGGGTCCCACGGGGATCATGCTCAGTTGTCCCCACACCCTCTGACTACACCGCTGAGTTTGTATAACTGTATTTATCCTTTTTCAACCCTGTTGTAGGTCTTAGCCTAAGTCCACACTAAAGTAACTCAACTTAAGGCAGTTGCCTCATCACCTCCCTTGGTTACACCACTGTTTTAGCCATCTTCCAGTTATGAGTTTGAATGTGTCACTCAGTTTGGCATCCTAATAAAAATGGACATCACCTGACAGAAAAATGTTGAAATCATCGGTTGACTTTGTGGTATCTGGGTTTTTCTGTCAGGGGTAGGTGGGGAGCTTATTGTTAAATTGGGGGCACGAGGCCCAGTATTTTCTTGATAATACTATTACTTTCTTTGTTTCCAAATTTTCAGTGGGATGAAGATGGCAGAGGGATGATTTTTTTTTATTGGCAGCAAATGTGCCCCTCAGCCACCCCCCTGTGCTGCTATGTGGAAACGTCATTTTAAGGCCTTTAACAGCATTTTTTCCCCAAAAGATGAGGACTGCAAACCTGGACAAGGTTGGCTGGATGAAGAAGAGGCTACTCTCTTTGCTTGATGAAATGACATCCCTACCCTTCAAATGAACCAGTAGCATGTAGGACCTACAGATGAACTGATGACCCTGCTTGCTGTACTTGTCAGTGCTTATTTTGCAAAGGTGAGGAGAGTAGTGTGTAAAACAATATCCTTGCACCAGACACTGACAGCAGCAGGGGGCAGGTCCTTTAATAGCTGATGCGTGATGGTCTTACAAATCCCCCCCCCCAACTTGGAAATTATTGTTTTACTTTCAACGACACTAAAATAAGTGATCAGTCACTCACTTGTGCTGGTTTTACTCTCTTTCCAGAAATGAGTGTTTCTGAATTATTCATGCCATTGTGGGTACTAATTTTGATTTTTAAAAATGTTGTTATAATTTTTAATAACATAAAGACTGCAGATTTGGGGAAAGTTGATTCAATGGAGGATAGCAGGCTACTTTTTGTGTCTGCAACTCAACCAATGAAACAGAATTAAGGAACTGGAAGGAGGGATGCTGAACGCTGAACGATAGATGGCTGATGACCCAGATTGCATTGCAAGTACCGTACATACTCCATGGGTGTAGGCCCCCATTGATATTATAAAGGAATGACTGGTGGGGATGAGATTGACAGTGAGGAAGAAAAGATGACTCCCAAACCGTCATTTTTTTCTTGAGTTACTCTGTGACTTTCTTCTTTGTGTGTGTAAAATTTTTTAGGTGAAGACAATCCTGTATTGGACTAATGTAATTAAGAATAAAATTATGATACGGATGATGCCCTCTACCCAGGATACCTCCTTGTTTTGGATGTTTCAAAAGCTGCAGACTATGGAACCTGGATGGATTTGCATGGACAGAGAGGCTGCACCCTCCAGAGAAGGATCACCCTGGCCAATGAGGAAGGAGCCTCACCTGCAGATGACCGATGACTGCCTTCCCCAATGCTGATTGTTGTGGTAGGTTCACTATAACAGGGGTAGATACTGGCTTACGGAAAGGGAAGAGTGATCATGATGTGAGTGATCATTGCACCTGTTCACACTTACCATCCTTGTTGCAGTTCATTGCAAAGATACAGAGAAGCTAAAGCATTGAAGGTTGTTCATGTAATCTTTATGCGCTTTCTCTGGTGGGGTCCGCAAATTTGGGGCTTCTTTTAAACTATCCATCTCTCATCATCTTTAAAAAAGCATCGTTTGGGGAGTCAATGGCTCTGTTTGCCCCCCATCTGCCATTGCAAAGGCTTGGGACTCAGCACCTAAAGTACTGAGAGTACTTTGTACTCAGCTTTGAGGACACTACTCCAACACTGTAAACACTCTTACAAAGTGTTAGAGCTTGTGGTGCTCATCATGAAGTAAGTTTCAACTGAGTCAGCATTTTGTTTTCCTCTTTGTTTCTTATTGCAGGAAGTACACTGTCGGCACATGCATCCAGACTCGAGTCACCCAAGTCCTCTCCTGATGTGTCAAGTCTGAGCCACATATTGCAACTCAAGATGGAGTCTGAGTCCTGGAATTGAGTCATATGAAACTGTGGGCATCAACTAGCAGACTGGAGAAGTAAATATCAGCCCTAAAGGTTCAGATTCTATGCAGATTTGCTCTGAGCAATTAACCAGGATTACTGTTGGCAGCATTTTAATTACAAATTTATCAGTGAAAATTCAGAGTCCGGAGGCCAGATATTCTACCATTTTTTGCATTAAGTAGATAGATCAAAGAGCTCTTTGTTTGACATTACACTAAGTTCAGCACCCTGATGAAAATTTTCATTATGTGGGTAAAAATGGCGGAGGAGTCTTTCTGATTTACATTGTGCTGTATCCTTTCAAAGGTGTTACCTTAAAAGAGGCTCTAGAGACTTGCAACTCATTTTGTTGAGCAACATTTTGAAACTGGTTTTGGGTTTATAAAGGCTAATTCATATTTCAGGCGAACATCAAAGGGAAACAAATTTAACATCACTAAAATTTGCCAAGAAATTCTCTTGAGTTGAAATGTGTGCAGCACAAATAATCTCAAATTATAATTTCAAAGTTTGCGTTCGTGTTTGCCTGAAGTAAGAATCAGGCTTGATGCTAGTAAATTATGTAAATACTAAAGAGGCCTTTTTCTGTTTGAAGCCTGTAGGTTTATGTGCAGATAATGATAAAATAAATAAGATTCAACTTTTTCTTTCTGGCAACAAAAAAAGGGAAGGTTTTTGTAATTTTCACAGGACCGACAACTTCTGAAGAAATAGTTTATTTTTTTACAAATTGCCTATCAATTTCAATCAATTCTTTTAAAAGCTATGATTGAACTTCCTAATAAACAACAAATATATCGTCGTATTAGTACTATAAGGTCATTAACAAAATATTTGCACTGAAAGGTCATTAATGAAATTGTTTTAAAACTTGAAATACTAGCAAAGTCCTGGTGAAGATCTGAGAAACAGTCCCCCAAAATGATTTTTATCAATGAAGTAATGTGAAACATTGTCTGTTTCTTTATAAAATTATTTCATGCTTAGAATAGGGCCCTAAAATTATTTTAAAATTATCAGTGCTATAAGGTTGTTACTGCCATAATGGCCTTATAGCACTGACCCGACGATATTTGACTTTTACACACTTTATGAAGCACGTGTATCAAAGTTTGAACTAGCTGGTGAAAAAGGTTTGAGTAAATAAAGACTTAAGTGGCTACCATTTATAGAGGGGCTGGAATCACTTTTCAGTTACATGCACATTCAGAGGTGAAGATTGGTTTTATTTAAACAAATCAAGTTAATAGTCATGAATGAAATTCAAACTAGTTAGAACTTTGTCAATTTAAAAGGAAGGCTGGAGAGTTCAGCCCCATTGTGTTTCTTTACACATAATAGGATTCCTTTTGATTCAGAGAGCACATCACAAAGTGTGCAGACACTCGAAATAATACGCTGTGTTTATCCTTCTTTTACATTTGTTTGCATGCATTTCTATATTTGTTTAAAGTTTTAATTTTTGGTTGCTTTGAGTTTTATGATTGCTGTTGTTTTTAACCTTGTTTTCAAGCAAAAGGATAAACACAGTTATTTAGAGTGTTTTTTGATACCAAATTTTTTCAGAAAAAAATGTTTGTAAAGCTTTGAGTGTTGTATGACAATTTTTCTAAACATTCTGTTTTCTAGTGGGGCTAGCTGCTCACCACTGCCTTTCCTTTGACCCCAATTCAATTTGTGCCCGGGTCTTCAATTTCACAAAAAAAATATCATTTCTGGGGTTGTGTCCTCTCCAGGATGCAGGGCTACCTTTATAATCTTTAACATTTTTCTTAGCAGTATTATTCCTCAAGTAACATCTAATTTTAAAGAATGTCAAATTTCTGTACATTTCCTAAAAATCATAGTATAACCAGTTTGTCTAAGTACCCTGAATATTGGAATTTTATTTATTTGTTCATAATCAAATTTTTCACAATAATAGTTTGTAAAAAATCAGTTACACGTCATTCTAAGAATTAAAAGAAAGAAAATTTGAATTACATACATGTATATTGTGTTTACTTCTTAAAATCTGTTTGAGAGGGGTCGTGGCAGGGGACTGTAATTATTCACATACACTGAAAAAATGCAAAAATAAGTTAAAATAATGTTTTAAAATGGCGGGGGAATGCAGGATCTTCGGGTAATGGGGGGGGGAATTCATGAAAATTAGGCGGAGCTTCATACGTGATGCAACCACTTTTATTTGCCTTCTAAAGTTAGCTGTTTCAGTGGTCAAAAGAAATGGCCAACGATTCGTAACCAAGCCCTTTGCCCAAATGAAAATCTGCTTAATTGTTTAAAGTCCGAGTCCAATCCTCTTACCAAATTATGACCAACATCACACACTGAAGGCAGCACTAGTATGCAAAGTTAATGTACCCCGGCCCAATTCCCTTCAGCGAAGACTTACCAATATCTGGCGATGAGGGCGGCATTCAAAGTTAACGGTCCTCTCATAAGTGCGTACAATTTCTACCACGCCCATTGCCATGGTCGACATTACCTCCTGACCTCTTCGTGACGATGGGGGCAGTATGCGAAATTAACGGTGCTGACTTCAACATGAGCCATCACAGATAAGGTCCGTGCTCTTCACCCGTCGGTTCTGCGACAGTACAGTATAGAGGCTAATTTCCGCCCCTTGTCACCTTTGAACTTTTGGGTACTGTCACAATTTGCGCGCGGACTTACAGGGGGCCACCCGTTTAAAAAATTCTTAGCCGATTATTGTTTTCTATTTTTTGTGTTAGGGACAACAAATTCACAGAAAATCTCGAATTTCTCAGTGACAGTTACTGTCTGAAGTTTAAGCAACTTTGTTGTACATGTTACTGAATAATGAAGGTATCACCATGACCGAGGTGTTCTCTTTAATCTCATACCGATGTGAAGTTAGTTCCTCGTTTGACGTTCGACATTCAACGTTGAACAAG